GGGGGGGGGGGGAAGGGAAATTTTAAGTTTTAGCTCACCATTGGAGATGGTCTTAGGGGCCCGACATCCTCGTCGGCACACATCCGGCCAGGGATTGGATCCTCTAAGTCGTATATGTATATTCCTATCTCTACCTAGCGCGAGGCCTTTTGGGAGCTCACTGGCTTCGGGTTCCATGGGACCTTCGAAGTTAAGCGAGTTTGCGCATGAGCAATCTCAAGATGGGTGACCCACTGGGAAGTTCTCGTGTGAGTTCCCAGAAACAAAATCGTGAGGGTGTGGTCGGGGTCCAAAGGGGACAATATCGTGATATGGTGAAGTCGAGCTCGGGATGTGACAACTACTATTTAAATTTAAGATCCTTAATTAATTGTAGCTACCTTCATATATATATATATATATATATATATATATATGCACTATCAGGGGTGGATGGAAGTAGGGGCCAAGGTGTTCCCTGGACCATCCAAGTCCAGATGTGAAGGTTTTTTGAGGATCCTCCGAATGTTTGGTACGGATTTCTTTTGCGTCTACTAAATAATTGATGTCATGCATGCTAGGCATACCTCGACATGTTGCGCTGACAGCACCCACCAAGTGAATAAAATGATTTTTTTTTTTTTTTTTTTTGCATGCTTTGCACTCTGTCCCCATCTAAAAAACTTATATTTAACACTAGAATTCCTAAAATTCAAATTCTAAATCCACCACTATATGCTATCAACTCATTTAAGTTTTAAGTTTTGACCCAATTCGCATCTTCATTTCCTGCTTGTATAAATTGTTGATGAACTACGAACTCTCTAAGCGCGTGGAAATGTTCTCATGCGACGCTCACGTTGACTTGTTCTAAGACGAAGAAGATGAAGATTACCAGGACATTACAAGTTTATAACATCGCAAGTATGCCTCATGTGAACATCTATTTTTCCCATAGTATTTTTTTTAAATTTTTTGCAAACAGGCAGAAATAATAAAATACAAAGAAAAAAAATGTAGTTCTTGCATGCGGTGGTTGTCAACTGGGATTCACGTGTACAAAATTATGGAAATTATCAACCGTGCAGACAATGATATTTGAAAATTAGATTCAAACAATTATTGTGTAAAACGGGAATCATATTCAAATTAAGCAGCCAGAAGACGATATATTCCGACATGATAAGATCTTTTCTTCCAAGAAATTATTTATGACATGTTTTGAAATTTAGCTCATCCTAAAGTAACGTAACGACTTGGCAGTTGTCCATTCTTTTGAATAAATAATAAATTCAGACAAACGTTATGATTTTTACAAAAATATTTTTACCATCGGTTCGTTAATACATTCACAAAATCCTTATTATTTGTACTTATTCCTTCGTTATCAATGAATATCATAGTTGAATTCAAAAAATACATACACAATAAGTTAAACTATGTAATCGGTAATCATCACCACAAGGCATAGCTAAGTATGGAAATCATAAGAATACAAGAAGGTTATTAGGTTCATGCACGTTGAACAAGTTTATACGCCCTCTCTTATCAAGTGAAGATAACTACCACGAGAATAGAAACTAGCTCATCGCCTCTCGTTTTTCAACGATAAGAAAGATTGAGGCTGCGTTATTATCCTATTAGTATTAACTACCATCATTAACATATTTGAAACTTGAAATATCTCATGTGTTACGCCACCCATTACAATAATTCTCGAGACTTCATATAATATAGTCACATGCGTGTTTCACAAGTTTTGCTTTCACAAATTATGATACTGATTTATGATCTTTCTACATCCATCGATCTTAGATTTAGATTTGGCATTCATGTTGTGATTTTTGTGTTTGTGTCATTTTTGTGAAGTACTCGATATATTAAAGGGTTATTGAAAATGTAAGGAAACATCAAGAAAGCAATAAATATTTTTTGGTTTTAACCCTATGACATAGAAGAAATATGTGTTGTCGTGTAACACCGGTTAAGATAAATGGGTAATATGACCTGACCTGAACTCGACCCGTTAATATTAACGGGTGACATGACCCAACCTGATATTAACGGGTTTTTAACATGTGATCTGATAACAATCCAATTAGGTAAGGTGTTGACCAAAAATAGGGCCGTCTTTGAGATTTAGGGGGTCCTGTGCGAAATTTATAAAAGGGCCCCTTCTTAAGATAGTTTTTCAAAAAATGTACCCATGCCTCAAAATTTTCTTGCCAAGCTACATGAAACAAATTTTTAGAAGAAGTCCACAAAAATTGCCAATTGCCCGAAATGAGAAGCAAAAATATTTTGATAAAAACTTTCATCAATAATATCATCATGACACTTAAAGTCATGTGCGGTAGCAATACCAAATCAAATACGACGAGTAGTGGGGTCCTGAGCTAAGCCTTGGCTAAACCTTGAAAATGTTAATGCCATAATGCCTTTAAAATCCTCCTAGTCATTATCCTACTGCAATAATTCTTGCTAAGAGGAACGCAAGACAATGTATTGATGCTAGAAAACAATAACTTAAATCAAAACAAACTTAAGGCTCATTGAATATATAGCATTATTATATAACAGAATTGAAAAAAAAAAAATCGTTTTTATGGTGTTGTTATTAGCACTTTAAATATCTCATTATACACTCTAAATTTTTATATGTAGAAAGAATTTTTTTTTTTTTACACTTATAAATGAGATTTTAAAGTGCTAATAAAAACAATTATTTTTTTTAATATATAGCATTATTACATATAAATTTAGATGAATTTTTTTTTGGAGGCCTTTAAATTTGGGGCCTGTGCGATCGCACCTTTCGCTCCCCCTTAATACCTCATCTGACCAAAAACCTATTACTTTCTTATCATTTCGAATTAGATTAACAGACCACGTAAGAAATTGTTAGTTCTACTTAGATTTAGTAATAACTAGCAGTCACGCATCATTTAGATAAGTGCTTTGCTAATATCCTATTATTTAAATAACTTGCTTCTGCTCCTCTTCAATATCTGCAAATTAATATTGCATCATGCAATAAGTATGAACAATTTATTATTAGTACGTAATCCAATACGTCAAGGCAGACATGATGTTGGATTTAATCTTTGTCATCCACACGTTAATGAAAAATGACCCGGAAATTAAATATGCAATTATGGATAAACATTCATAAAAAAATTGCATAGATGATATTTGAATTTTTTTTGTTCACTTCTGTGGATTTACCACACAAACTAACAAAATTATACAATTAACACAAGATTTTAGAGCATCTCCAAAATAAATGTCAAACTATCTAAATAAGCATTATCAATAAAAAAACAACAACAATTTTTTCCAATTGAAAAGTCAAACCATACATGTATTGGCAACCCTCACGCTTGTTGCCAAAATTGTCAACAACTTCAATTAAATCTTCTTTTAATTAATTATTAAATGAATTTTATTAATTTTGTCATTGTTTTTTATTTTAAAACGTTTAATATGTTAAAGTGCCACATACGCTGTCAAATTTAAAATTTATATTTAAGATAGATGCTCTAAAATCATTTGACATCTATTTTTCATTCCCAATTTTGTCAAATGCTCGTTATGGGAAGCATTTTTGCTTACCACCCTAAACTTTAGTATATGCTTACCATACACCTGATTATCTCCCACGTGCCCTTTTACTTAACCATGGTTATTTATTTATTTATTTTTTTTAAATTGAAATAACGTTTAATGTGAAAATTAACTATAATTAGGTAAAAGAATATTTGACAAATGATTAGATATGTGGTGAATATACACTATAGTGATGATGGTGACAAAAATACACTTCTTGTTATAAGATGAATCTAAAGGCTAAGAACCAAGGGACCCGGGTTTCGGATACCTCTAGGCTTGTGAATTGATGAGAATGTCATGAAAAAGGCTCATGCAAGCTACGTGTTCATATTTGACATATTGTAAGTGGAAATTAGATTCTTGTGTTTCTACCAAACTATTTTGTATGAGAATAAATATTTCATCACTAGAGCTATAAATTGGGGGGAATCGAACTCCTGGTATGCTCACTTAACATGAACTGGAGAAAGCAAGAATTGGAGAACGTAGGAAGTAAACGAAGAAATAAAATGAACTAGTCTCATGATTTGATTCACAGTTTCAATATTGCAATACGAATTTCAATGAAAAACACATTTTCTTTTCGCTTTTATTGGTATAGTAAACACAAAGAAAATTAGGAAATACAATTATTTAAATAAATTGATTTTAATTCTCATTCTATTCTATGTAACTAAAAATATCATCGACACATCTAATATGTACATAAGACAAATACTCTCAACCACTTGTATATCATGCCAAACTTCCAATTAATCTGTGGCACATGGTTAGCGGGCAGAGTGATCCTTCTGGAAAACATTGTCTCACTCCCTCGTTTAAGATTTTCACAATAATACTTGTGCGTCACTCAGCATTTTATTATTAAAAATGTTTTCATATCTAAAATTTGTACCAACTCAATTTTAAATAATATTTTCTTTCCATTTTATCTTCCTATATATCCAGTCTGCGTATTTGCAAAGAAATTTAATACATCATTTATTATTTTACAAAATGATGTATATATTACTTAATTTTTTTGGACCGTTAAAAATAAAGAATACGTGGTATTTTTTATTAAGCCAAATTAGAAATGAGTATATATGATACATCCTTATTCACCAGTGAGTATCAAAATATTATCCAAAAATAAATATCAGATGTATATATGTGGCATTATTGCCTTCCTCTCCAAGAAGTCAAACCCACCCCAAAATCCATGTGCGCAGCAGAAGCTTCCATGAGATTTTGCTTTTGTCAAACCTTTTATTTACCAAAAGCTCGTCTGGATCTCTCTTCTCAGCTAATCACAGCAAAAGCAACCCCTTATATATATATAATCTCTCCTTTCTTCCACTCAAACCAAATCCCTCAATACTCAAATCCCAAAACTCAAGAATCATTTCGTTTTTAGTCTTTAGTTTATTCAGATGTTAAGCCCTTTCAGCTGCGTATTCTTCCATCAGAAAGATGTTCAAGACGAACCCTTTTCAAGTCCTTGCTCCACGCCGAAAAGATCAACAAAGAGAAGTAGCAAGGAGAGCAAGAACCCCTATTCGAGTCGAGGCCTCGACAAGTTCTCTGAACTCTTAGCCGATCTCGAAGAGAAACGGCAGAAGATTTATGCGCAAACGCCTCAGCAAGACATATCCCTCGTCCGCTTCATGTTCAAGGAGTCGAACGAGGACGCCCCTCCCGTCCCGGTCGTGATCAAGTTGAAGGACAACAAGAAAGAAGACCGCAAAGAGAAAACCAAAATTCAGGTGGTGACAGAAAAGCATGCAACGAGTAACTCGGAAGGTTTGAATAATTTTACCGTCGAGCCCTCCACGCCCACAAAAGAAGTAGCAGTTCAGCAACAACCAAAGAATTATAAGAGGGTGCGTTCGTCATTAAACTTTAAGGACATGAACTTGGGCATCTGGAGAAGGCCTTCTTACTATTTGCCGGTGGTTGTGGTGTTCATTTTGGTGCTGCTGGCGGTGTTCGGGCGGTCGGTTGCAATTCTGTGCACGTCTATCGGCTGGTACGCATTGCCGACGTTGGAAGAAAGCAATGGCAAGGCAAAAAGAGCGTCAAAGAAGAAAAATCATGGTAGAAGATTGAGTGAAAATAATAATAATAATAATAATCATGGACTACTGTCTTCTCCAAAGAGTAACAACATAGGGGCCGGAAGCACGCCCAGATCACAACAACACGGTCATCAGAAAATTTGGTGACCGCGGCGTTGCGATTGACTTGTGACTTTTGTCCTTACATTCCTTGGTTCTTTCTTTCATATTTCCTCTTTTTTCTTAATTTCTCGGTCAAGATTTGGCTGCCATGTATGTACAGACAATGTTTTGTTTTTGGTCGCTGGTGCCAACTTGGTAAATGTAAACTATGATAACTATAAGATTAGTCTAGAGATGTTTGAAAGATGTGAGTAGTGAAATTTGCCCTGTAATTCCACTATATTTGTGGTTTTTTTTTTTTTTTTTTTTTTTTTTTTTGTGTGGTTAAATGTATGTATTGGTTTCGAGGGATTTTTGGTTTTATGCTTAAGTTCTTCACTGCAAAGTTTTTGTGCCAAAAGCTAAATCAAGGATCTAGGGCTCATTTGGGGCTCGGTCGAGCTGAACTTGTTTTAAAATTCAGACTAATGTCGTAACCATTGTTTGATGAACTTAAAATACTAAGACTGAACTCATGATTTATGAAAGTGGATAAGAAGAGGCCAGACTCTAAGATTGGGTTTTGAGACTTAATTCCAATCATCTCAAGTCACAATTGCGATTATGGATTAAATATAAACGTGTGACGTTAGCTCTTGTTGACTTTGTATTTTAGGTAGGATTCCTAATTGATATTAATTCTGTGTAATCTCCTGTAACCTCGTCTAATTAGTTTTCTTCCTTTTACATTAGGATTGTACTCTTTGTACAAATATCTCTCATTGAGAAGAATAAAATTATCATTCAAAGCATTCTCCACTTGGTACCAGGGCCAGAAAAACCCTAACTGGTATCATGTGATCCCACCATTGATTCCCTGCGGTGCTGAGCTGTTCAGCACATCGTCTAGGAAAGGGCAATCCACTGCTCCAGTAGCACTGCGCCTTTGATCAGCGAGCGGCTGCTGTGCCGTTGCTGCCCCTCTGAAGAAATCACAGTGAGCGACCTGTTTGCCTCGTCGTTGCTGTGCTCAACTAAGCGCAGCGAGCAACCTTGCATTGTTGTTGTCCAAGAAACTGTGAATAAGCTCTACTGCTATCCGAAATCTGTTGAACTCGCCCGAAGAAATTCGTTGACTCATCTGCATCACGCTGGAGAAGCTGACCCGCGAACTCGTCTGAGATCGTTGCTGCAATCAGAAAACCCAGACAACCCCTGTTGCTGCAAGACTACAGACCCGCACCAGTTTTTTTAGGGATGTGCTATCCACACATCCCATTTTACTTCTTACACACCCTTGATAATTTATATCCACTGATCTTCTTTAATTCATCCAATCTGACGGTTGGAAATTAAAAAGATGTGTGAAAAGTAAAATAGGATGTGTGGATATCACATCTTTTTTTTTATTATTGTTTTCAAAAGAAAAAGAAAAAAAAAGGAAAAAAAAAAGAAAAAAAGAAAAAAAGAAAAAAAGAGAAAAAAAAGAAAGACGAAAAAAATCAGCTTTGCTTTGTAGATTGGTCTCTTTTTTTTTTGTTTTGTCGTTGGTGGGCTACCTTGTTGGCCCATACCGATTGGTTTCTTGGGCTCAACTTGCTTGGAGGTTTAGGCTACATTAATCAAGGACTCGCGGACTGATTATAACTATTTGGGAATGGCCTCGATTACCGAAGCTAAGATCCATTCTGAACATATGGCCGGGAAAGTGTCGGCCTTGCTTAATGACACAGGTTATGATGGTAGGGTTTAAAGATTTCTGCATTTGTTAAGAATAATACATAGATAATTGATTCTGATGCTATTGAATATATGACTTGTGATTCTAAACAGGCACAAACCCTAAAACCATCCCCCAAAACTGTCGTGAGTGTCGCCAATGGTAATGTTGCCTCCATTATCGGAGAAGGCGATGTCTCACTTTCTGATACCTTGAATCTTGATTATGTACTCGTTTTCCTTCTCTTGACTATAATTTATTATCCGTTGCTCAAATAATTGTCGCCCTACATTGTCTTGTGATTTTTTGGCCTTCTTTTTGTGTTTTTAAGGACATTTGGACTAGTAAGACGATTGGTTATGGTATTAGGAAGGGGAAGCTCTACTACTTGGAGCTGACATCCAACAGTTCTCACATGTTGACTCAAGCTCTTGTAGTGGAAGGAAATCAGGGGGATAGGAATAAAGCTTCAGAGATTTGGTTGTGGCATCGACGACTTGGACATGCTTCTTTCGGCTATTTACGGAGTTTGTTTCCTAGCCTATTTGTTAAGCATGATGTTTCTAGTTTTAAATGTGGTGTTTGTGAACTAGCTAAAAGTCATCGTGCTTCGTTTCCATCCAGTTTGAATAAAAGTTCTGTTCCATTTATGATAATTCATTCTGATGTTTGGGGTCCATCTAAAACTACTACACTTGATGGTGCTCATTGGTTCGTTACTTTTATTGATGACTGCACACGTATGACTTGGGTTTGTTTGATGCAATCCAAAAGTGAAGTAACTTCTTTATTTTAGCAAGTTTTACAAAATGGTACAAGTACAATATAAGTCACAAATACAGGTTCTTAGGAGTGATAATGGTGGCGAATATGTCAACTCTGAACTTCGTGCCTTTCTTGATCATCATGGGATTGTTCATCAAACTATATGTCCATATACTCCATAACAAAATAAGGTTGCTGAACGCAAGAACCGTCAACTTCTGGAGGTTGTTCATGCTTCTTTCCTCGAGGCGCGTCTCCTGCTATCCTATTCACCTCAGCTGCGTATCTCATTAATCATGTTCCATCCCGATCGGTTGATTTTCAAACCCCCTTCAGACACTTTCTTCACATGTTAATGCTCATGCAGTCCTTAATCTTCCACCTCATGTGTTTGGCTGTGTGGCCTTCGTTCATCTTCACAAACAACAACGAAGTAAGCTTGAACCTCGGGCCTTACGATATGTGTTTGTGAGGTATGCATCAAGGCAGAAAGGATACCGTTGTTATCACTTTCCGATGAATAAGTTGTTTGTCACTATGGATGTTGTGTTTCATGAGAATGATATGTACTTTTCCAATCTCGAGTCTTCACTTCAGGGGGAGAATCAAAAAGAAGTTCAAACTCTTGATTATATTATTCCAGATATAGATAGAGTGAATGATTTGGATTTAAGTGGTGATGTCTTGGAAATAAGTGGTGATCATTCACATGAAAACAATGATGTGAATGAATTAGAATTAAGTGGTAATGTCTTAGAGACAAGTAGTGATCTTTCACATGGAAACAATGTTGAAAACCTTGAAAGGGATGAGTTGACATCGCCAGATAACTCATTGCCTGATAGCTCACTGCCAGTTTCCTCACCACAAGACAGCCCTGTGTCGCCAGCTACCTCACAGTTGATCTTGCATGCCAATAACCATAATCAATCGTTTTCGATCCTGGATGCACCACCACGACGTCGTTTCCCTGATTATGTCAACCGAGGTATTCCTAAACTTATTTATGAAGCTGACCTTAAATGTAAAACCAGGTATCCGGTGAGTAAGCCCAACCCTGAGTCTAATTTGTTATACCTGTTAAGTAATTATGTGATAATTATCTACCAGTCACCTGTCAGAATCAAATAAGTCGTTTGTGCATCAATTATCTATTATATCTATTCCGAATAGTGTGTAGGAGGCTTTAGCTGATCCACATTGGCAATCAGCAATGAATGAAGAGTTGAAGTCTTTGAAGAAGAATGCTATGTGGGAGATCACAGATTTGCCAGCTGGTGAGAAACCTGTGGGATGAAAATAGGTATATACTGTGAAATACAAAGCAGATGTGATGGTGGATCGTTTCAAGGCAAGACTGGTAACAAAATGATACACTCAAAAATTTGGAATCGACTACACAGTTACATTTACACCTATAGCCAAGATCAACACAGTTCATGTTTTGTTGTCATTGGCTGCAAATCTTAATTGGCCCTTACAACAGTTTGATGTGAAGAACGCTTTCTTGCATGGAGACTTGACAAAAGAGATTTATATGGATCTTCCATCAGGATGTAATGCTCCAGATAAATACAAAAGAAAAGTGTGCAGGTTGAAGAAATCCTTATATGGTTTGAAGTAGTCCCCTCATGCATGGTTTGGAAGACTCAAAAATCTATGAGAACATTTGGCCACAAACAAAGTAACTCCGATCATACTCTATTCCTGAAAAGACGAAATGGGAAACTTACTGCACTTATTGTGTATGTAGATGATATGGTGGTAACAGGTAATGACCCAGAAGAACGTGTGGCCTTGCAAAGATATTTGTCTACAAAATTTGAGATGAAGGACCTTGGATCCTTGAAATATTTTTTGGGGATTGAGGTATCGAGAAGCAGTTGGGGAATTTTCTTATCACAGAGGAAGTATATTATTGATTTGTTGCATGAAACCAGTGTTGGGGTGAAAAACTTAGAGTACACAACTCTAGCACAAGTGTTGGAGAGACAATACAAGTAAACAAATTACTTGTATTACACAAACAAAATATTACAACACAAACTATCAAAGACACTCTTGAGAAGCTATGACACTCACTCACTTTCTAGAGACAAACTCTAGAACACTCACACTCTTACAAGACTATTCTTTCTTCTCACTCTCACTTGCTTGCTTGCTTACAAGCTTGCTTGTTGATTTGTTGATACAAATGGTGTGGATGCCTTCTCCTTTTATAGGCATGGATGGAACCTTGGAGAAGTATGGACACACTATGCTAGAGATATCTAGATAATTCCACTAACTTCCTAAGCTAGAATTATCTACACTAATCTTGCATGTTGGTGGAAACCTCACCATTCTTCTAGACTCTTCCACCAACTTAAGAAACAACATTCTAGTCATTTCTACAAAGTACTACTTTAACTTGGATAATCTAGCTAACCAACCTTAGTGAATGTTCTAGAATTCTTATTTTAGATTTTTGTAAGTCCTTTAATGAGATGAGGTTGATTTCTTTAACACTCCCCCTCAACACCATCTCATTCTTCTCTCTACACTGGGTTGACAACGCTTCATCTTGAACACCCATTTGTAT